GATCCAGAAAACAAACCGCTTATCTACGCCCGCTACGTCGACGATATATTTATCATCACAAAGTCTATAGCTGACATATATCAACTCCAAAACCTGTTCCAGAACAACTCTTGCTTATCATTTACAATTGAAGTTAGTAACAATAATAAAATCTCTTTCCTTGATACTTTAGTCACCATGCGCGCAAATCAGCTCTCTACCCAAGTATACGTCAAACCAACAAACTCTGGACAATACTTAAACTACAATTCCGATTGTCCCGTCAAATACAAAAACAACGTCTTTAAAAACTTCATCACACGCGCTTTTAAATTATCTAACGACGATGAATCTCTTCATATAGAAATTCAAAGAATCAAACAGTTACTTATTAATAATAATTATCCAAATACACTCATCGACGACGTCATATCTTAATCTCTCAAGAAATTCAAACAACCACTTCTACAACCACAGCACGAACAACAAACAATACCTATCTACTACAAAAATCAAATGCATAATAACTATCTAATTGATGAAAAACAAATTAAACAAATCATTAGATCAAATCTCACATCAGAAGATGAAAATAAAAAGATCAAGTTAATAATATATTATGATACAACAAAAACACAACAATTAGTCATCAAAAACAGTCCAGCCACTACAAAAGATAATCTAGATAGTACGAACGTCGTGTACCAATTTCGATGCCCTTTGCCACACCGTGATGTGGAAACATATATTGGACACACACGTACAACACTTCGCAGACGCCTTACCATGCACGTACAGCAAGGCGCTATCAAGGATCACTTCAATAAGCAGCACAACATACCAGTTACTCGAAAAATTCTTGATAATAACACTAGCATACTTTGTAATGAACGTCGTCCCTCAAGACTCAAAAGAAGCTATTCTCATCCTCAATAATAAACCAACAATCAACACGCAGTCAGACAATTTCGCCCACGTCTTACAACTTTTTACTCAATATCGCGAAGTTGTACTGCTCAATTGCCAAACGTCATCAATAGACAGCTACTACACACCAAATATAATGACGAATATAACACACAAGAACGCACCATTAACAACAATCCGTTTGTCTCTTCACGCCATAAAACTCAAACAATTTGTTCACTAACTTCATTATTTGTTACGCCTTAATATTTTTTTATACATATTTATTGCTAAATAATATTATATCCAATTGTTAAATATCTAATAATTTTTCAATAAATTGTCATATCATTAAATATTATTATCGACTTCCCATAATTTCTGCATTACTTCTTGTCACTATGCTAACTTTCTACACTTCAACTACGATAGTACACAAACGATTTTATTCATAATTTTTCTTTTAAATTTATTCGTTTATTTTATTTTCAACAATATAATGAGTTAATTTTAAAATATAGGTTGTTATTCATTTATTTATTCATTTTAATATCTAATATTCTATTTACTATTTCTTATAATTTATATTATTAACTCCTCATTTGGTTTTACAATCTAGGTTCCGACGATGGCATTAGCCGAAACGGCCATCAGCCAAACTTCACAGTTTAATAAAGTTGAAACAAAACAGCTTCGTGTTGTTGAAATTTTATTTAAAAAACTTCTAACTGCAAAATGGGATGTAATCTTCAACCGTACATATATATATATATATATATATTGGTAACAGACTATTGTTAACGCAACATTTCAAAAATTCAACACTACTTTCAACATTGTTCAACTTTTTCATATTTCTTTTTAATTTATTAATTTCCGAGAAATTAGACATTTTATTGTTTTTTTTTAAATTTTTATTAAATAAATTTGCAAATAGCTATTTCGAGTTATAAATAACTCATCTTCAGTGCATTATATATAA